AGCGATGGCCTCCAACCGAACAGCGATGGCCTCCACCCTAATAGCAATGGCCGCCAACCTAATAGAGATGGCCTCCCCTAATAGCAATGGCCTCCAACCGAATGGCAATGGCCTCCACCAGTAGTGATGGCCTCCAACCTAATAGCGATGGCCTTCACACTAGTAGCGATGGCCTCCAACCCCCTAATAGCGATGGCCTCCACACTAGCAACGATGGCCTCCAACCGAATTTCGATGGCGTCCACTATAGCGATGGCCTCCAACCGAATAGCGATGGCCTCCAACCGAAAAGCGATGGCCTCCAACCGAAAAGCGATGGCCTCCACCCTAGTAGCGATGGCCTTCAACCGAATAGCGATGGCCTCCACCCTAGTGCTGGCCTCCAACCGAATAGCGATGGCCTCCACCCTAGTAGCGATGGCCTCCAACGGAACAGCGATGGCCTCCGCCCTAGTAGAGATAGCCTCCAACCTAGTAGCGATGGCCTCCACACTAGTATCCTCCTACCTAGTAGCGATGGCCTCCAACTTAAAGTGATGGCCTCCACCCTAGTAGCGATGGCCTCCAATGATGGCCTCCGCCCTAGTAGAGATAGCCTCCAACCTAGTAGCGATGGCCTCCACACTAGTATCCTCCTACCTAGTAGCGTTGGCCTCCAACTTAAAGTGATGGCCTCCACACTAGTAACGATGGCCTCCAACCGATTAGCGATGTCCTCCTACCTAGTAGCGTTGGCTCCACCCTGGTAGCGATGGCCTCCAACCTAATAGCGATGGCCTCCACACTAGTAACGATGGCCTCAAAACAGGTGCATTCGCCAAAAAAGAAACCAAAGACGAACTGGGTGCCACACTTGCATGATCTTGACCTGCACTTGGACTCATTGCAACCGAATAGCGATGTCCTCCTACCTAGTAGCGTTGGCCTCCAACTTAAAAGCGATCCTAATAGCGATGGCCTCCACATGGCCTCCAACAGAATAGCGATGTCCTCCTACCTAGTAGCGTTGGCCTCCAACTTAAAAGCGATGGCCTCCAACCTAGTGGCGATGGCCTCCAAAGGCCTCCTCCAAGCTAATAGCGATGGCCGCCACACTATAGTAACGATGGCCTCCAACCGAACTGCGATGTCCTCCTACCTGGTAGCGTTGGCCTCCAACTTAAAAGCGATGGCCTCCACCCTAGTATCGATGGCCTCCAACCTAATAGCGATGGCCTCCACACTAGTAACGATGGCTTCCAACCGAATAGCGATGTCCTCCTACCTAGTAGCGTTGGCCTCCAA